ATCCATGGGAGTTCCAATTGGTTTACAATCAGTCATATAAAACTTCTTTAAGACATCATCAATGTATTTTGATTGATTTGCTATCAGTTTTCCTTCTGTTTGTTCAAATTTTATTCCTAAGCAATGGTTCAACTTACCTAGATCTCGCATTGGGGAGAGCATATTGAATGTGGAATTGACTCTAAAACTCATGAATATGAAATTAAATTTAGACAGAATAGAAAACTAGTGTTTAATTGAATCAAGGAAAAACACAAAGGCTATAATCAAATATAAAAACGTAAACATATGACTTAAATACAATTAATAGTCACATGCTAGCTTATATACAGATCATGAGTGAAAGTCCAACATATGCCAGGAATGTTCCAGGGATATTGGGACGTTTTGGGAACTCTTGTGTGATTTCCTGAGGATATTCTGTGATAGTTTATTCGAACGTAGAGTAGAACACAAAGATAGAAATGTTATTAAATCTTAAGGAGATAAATTTATTTTTTAACTTTTCTTAGATTGTTTTAATATACTCACATTTTATAATTTTTATTATTTCATAAAGCGGTACAAAAGATGTTATTATTTTAAGTAATAGTTTAAAATTTTCTATAAAGTAAACAATAACAATTTAAACTAGTAGATACATAAATGTTCTCTCTATTTAATACGTTACTATAATATAGCTGTTAACATTTTATATACTTTTTGACGATCCGCGCTAAGCGATCGTAATAACAAGGGCAAGTGTGAGTTCGGAACGACATCCGACCTTACATTAGTATTTAGTAAAGTGAAAGTCTGTGAGTTATAGAAGACCAGCGCAGCGAGGTGGCGGACGGGCAGCAGTTTGTGTTGTTCAACTCCCACACGAATCCATACATTCCCTTAGGGTTGGTAGCAGCAATGTCCAAAACCGGTTTTGGGGGCGGCTCGTTCAGCGCGCCACTGGCGAAATATTGAACTACGGGGACTGTTGGCTAAACACAGAAGTTGTACAGCTGAGTAGCCACGGAGGTATAAAGCCCCCTTAAAAAACCAGAGCTATAATCTACCAACCAGCACTTGTCTCTTGTCTTGAAATATATGAATGTACATCTTTATGGATTTTACCATTAAACTTGTCTGTGATTTTACGTGGTATGCTTACGCCAAATTGACGGTACCAGTATACAGAAGTTTAATCCCGGAATTGCGGGACTCGAGCATAAAATATATAAACCTTAATTATTATTACAGCATTGTTTATTTATTCTATGATTCTGGCACATAAATTTATACTATGGAATGTTTTTTGTTTGTAGATAAAGAATTTTTAAAATCTGGTTAATAAAGCATTCTAAAGCCAAAGTTTAAAGAATTCGTTACAACTTTGTTCTGTTGGGCTGTTGTCGAGCGGTACGGTATTGCCACTGCCGCTATATGGGTGCTGGCTCGATAGTCGATACTGCTCCGAGTGAAAAGGGCGCTAGTACAGTAGTCGCAGCTAGTCTGGGCGCGCGGACCCTTGTGTACTAACCGTCCCCCACGCCAAAGCCATGAAGACAGCGCTGAGGCGCTGAACAACCCCAGAGAGCCGTGTGGGCCAGATGTTTTTGGAAATGAGCAATAAACACTCCCCTCTACACCCCCCGCCCTGGCGCGGCCGCGCGCCCAGACTAGCTGCGACTACTGTAGTGCGTTCCATTGCCGAAACACTGTTACCACCCTCAGCTCGCAAAACAAAAGTTATTAACAAATCTTTTGGTTTGCTTAAACAACCTGCAGTACAAGTTAAAATATATCGTTCAGTAAACTATGACTTTGTCTTTAAAATTTACTTAATTAATCAGAATTGTAATAGACTTAAAAATGCAATACTCTCCAAAGCACCGTTGACATTGCTTTGTTTTACCTTGCAAATATAATTTTGTAGTGTTGGGTGTGCAGAGTGACATACTAAAAGTTTCAAAAATTGGTCCACATTAAATCCCCTAAAATCACTAAAAATGGCGGCTTGTCCCAACATTAGACAAATTTTGAAATTTTTCGAGAAGTTCACTTGGGACCTGATATTTGGTGGTTAGTACTTAATTTCCATAGGGACTGCGTTTTTGGCCGCCACCTTGGATCCGCCGCATAAAATGTCAACAATAACGCTTCACAACAAATTCATGATAGTCTTGACTTACTCAACTTATTTCCTTTTATCTCCTATGGCAGCATCTGCATAGGGCATCCAGAGGAGCTCTCCATCTATCCCTGTCTCCAGCAAGTGCCTTCACTTCTCTTCGAGTCTTGTTTACCTCTTTCGCTTCTTTGATAATGGTCCTCCTCCAGGTTTTCCAGGCATCTACCTCTTCTTCTAATTAAGGGCCTCTTTCTCCGTTTGGCTTCCTCAGAGTATGTCCCAGCCACTTCCACTTCCTCTCTCGAATTTGCAGTTTGACCTGTTTCTCTCCATAAATCTTCGTTTGCGATTATCTCCGGCTCCGGCCAATGAATGTTCATGATACGGCAAAGACACCTTTTGATGAGACGTAATTAAACTTGTAACCTTCCACGTCTCACTTGGATACAGCAAAACAGACTTCATGATAGTGAATTTTCATCAAAGGGTCAATCCAAGCTTGTTTCATCTTCAAATTTAACGTTGGAAATGTAATAAATATAACAAATACAATCTTCTGTTGTAATCAGCCATCGTGCTATGACACCCACTTAAAAATGAGGCAAGTTCTCTACTGACGGCCAGAGTCGTGTGATTGCCGTCGATGTAGTGTGAAATGCCTTACCGATTTGTCGCGTCAATGTCGTGAAGTATGAAAACGGCTATTCAAGTATGGAAGTGTGCTGGCTTACGCTTTTTCTCAAGTATGTAATCCTTATTAGCTCTTGTAGATGATCCAGGCTAAAGAAACAGGTGATGTTAGTTAAGCTGTCATCATTTAACAATCATTTAACGATTAATCATTTAACAATAACAATTGTAGTTCACTCTAAAATGGCACTGTGGTGTGTGGTCAAAACATCTAATCTAATCTTTGTTTCCAAGCCATAACACCATAATTAAATGTGCATTGATGCCAAATTTAGGTTATTGATTAAAACCACCAATTTATAAACACATTGTATATTTTTGAACATATAAAACAAAACAATAGGTTACAAATATTTGTCTTATCCCACACTTTTGATTAGGGGTGTGCGATGCAGCATTTTTTTAGATTCGATACATCGATGCGATTCAAACTATTTTGATTAAAATCAATACAATTCAATTCGATGCAGCACTGTATGATTTTTTTCAATATGATTTAAAACTTGCGTTACTGTAATGGATGATTTATTTTTAAAAAAATATCAAAGTACAAAAATGAGCTAAATAAATTTGTTTGTGAACAAGAGGGCTGACCTAACCTCCTGGTGATGGACACTACTGATTTTATGGTTGGCCTAAGAAAATCCAGACTTCACTAACAATTTGAATATGCATAGAAAAAAAACTGATCAAGACGCAATCGGTATGCATCAGTATTTCAATGCATGCTGAATCGAATCACAATTTGATGCATAAAATCAAATTGAAATTTTGATGCATTGCACACCACTACTAGTACTTATCGTAAAGTTGTTTATATTTTTAATAAATTAAAAATAAACTTGTAATAACAATACAGAAAATAAAAGACATCTCGTACAAGAAAAATAGTATTTTTAAACTAAATATAACAAAGTTTTCTTTCATATATCAAAGTCATACTACACCCCAAAACTACAGTAATATAGATTTTACAACAGATTGTCTTGTATTCTAGATTTGATATATCTTGAGCAATGGAAACATAACTTTTTAACAGTTTTTGGCGGAGTAACTGACAGGGAAGTTTTAGCTAATATTATGATAACACATACCGCATTTGATCTATATATTATTTAAGGCCAGAAGAATTTTTTACTAGAAAACGCTTTACACTTTGAAAACAGAAGTGACCTTTCAAGAATATTTTGTCTAGAATACTTTACAATCAACCTTTACTTAAAAAGTACAAGTCTAGTAATTAAATTAGCCTTTTTTTATAGCAAAAAGTAATTTTAAAGAGGTGCTATGCTCAGTCTAACTCATTATCTAAATTAGAGGTAATTTACCTTGATTTTACCTCTTAAGATTGGCAACGTTACTCAACAGTTCTTTGTGATCGATGCAGAAGATCGAACTTTGTTCATGACTTTAATCTTCTGATCTTAAATAACCATACTATCTGTAACACTGTATAAAACAAAATATAATAAAATTGTTTTTTTTTTTATTTTAACAGTTTTTTATAGGTCAATGTTTTTCTTACTTCTAAGTTCTAATTATTATAAAATAACTTGTTAAGTAATTTGTTTGAAAAAATAATTAGTCAAAAATAAAAACAACAGTCTTTGTAATTTACTCGCTATTATTAAACTATGATTATATCAAATGGAAAACATCTTAAACCTAAATAATTGTAAACCAGAAATAACCTTTAAAAATGATATGAAGCTTTTAAGATTGCTATCCTGAGAGCACAATTTGTTTTTCAGGATTAATTTTGCCAACAGTGTCATTTAGAGGCTCCTGATTGACTATTACGAAGGTTTAGTAGTTGAAAAATTATTTTTGTTCATAAAATAAAATTATAAATGCCTCAAATTCAATTTTATATTTTTTAATTATGAAATTAAACCGTCATAACCTAACCAAACCAACCAAACGTGCTGACAATGAAAAAATCTAATGAAGGTTTATTAATCGAAAAAATAGTTCTGTTCATAAAATAAAATTATAAATGCCTCAAATCCTATTTTATATTTGTTTATTCTAAAATTAAACTATCATAACCTAACCAAACTAACCAGACTTGCTAATAATGAAAAATCAAATAAAGGCTTAACCGAAAAAAAATATTTCTGTTCATAAAATAAAACTATAAATGGGTCAAATTCAATTTCATAATGTTTTAATTATAAAATTAAACCGTTATAACCTAACCAAACCAACCAAACTTGTTGATAATGAAAAAATCCAATACAAAAAAATAGTTCTACGGATGGGATTCGAACCCGGGTCCTTCGGATCATCAGCCTAGCACTCTATCCACTACACCACTGAAGCCGTTGGCATCAACCGTATCGTCGCGGTAATGATGTTCCCTCAGCCAATCAGAAGTCTCAAAATAATACTGTAGGCAACACTAATCCTGAAATAAAAATTCAGCATCCTGAGAAGGTAACTAGCCAGGCTTAAGAAACTGTATGAACACCTTTCAAAAATGTGTTGAAAAACATAATTAATATAAAAGGTTTTGTTTTGGTATATTTTAAAGTAATAAAATCTGTAAATTTAAGCTTACTGTATAAAATGTAATCTCAAAATAACATGAACAGTTTTAGTCACATTTAAACTTTTACTTTTCTAAAGGTTATTCCATTTATAAATAATTAACTTAAAATACTATTTCGGCATTGCATGGCACTTGTACATTTGTTTTTCACCTATAGCACACTAGATACTGAAACAAATGAGCAAATCATTTGTTTAAATCATTAACTGATTCTGCTTAAACAATACATATTATACAAATTACCCGTTTGGCTTGGGCAGATGAAATTCACATACTAATGTTACATTGTCCATAACTAAGTAAAACTAATTAGTAATAACCTGTTAACATCTGTTAGGTAGGCAAAATGCTGTTGCTGGCATTCCTTTGTTGTTTAATAGTGCACACGAATTTCACTTACTTACATAATAACATAATGTGTAGTTACAAAATGTTTTATGTAATTAATCCTTGTACTATCACAACAAATTTTTGTACTATCACGACTGTGACTATATTAGGTATGTCTACTGCAACAACAACAAAAACTATGGACTTAGTTGATGTTAATTTTTAAAAGACTTAAAATTTACTTTTAGTTCCCTTGTGTAAGGTACTACGTTTATGGAGGTAAAAGGCAACTATGTTTTGGCAGAGCTTAATAAAGTATGTGCCTATCTTATAGTTTAAGGCACTTTGACTATCATCACAGCCTTAACTTGCAAGCTTCTTAGGAGTGTTTGTGCTTAAGCTAATCTTGGTCAGCGTCTGCTGAGGTGGTATTTCTCTTCAGATTCCTACAACCAACAGCTGTAACAGACAAAGCATATTGATTCTCACTGTTGAATCAGTAAAAATATAGTAGTGCACCCAACGATCGCGTAAAGATAGTGTTAACGACACGAGTAGAAAATTTAAGGTAAGTGCCTTAAAAACTTCTACGAGTGTCGCTAACACTATTTTATTTACGCGAGTTGAGTTTACTACTTTACCTAAAACCAGTTTTTAATTACTAATAATCAATACTCAAAACTTCTAAGAGAGGTCATGTTTTCGTTTATAGCCTCTCATTGCCACTTTTTTCAAACAGAGGGCAAGTCTTATAAGTAGACCATATGATTGCACAGTTTATTGCCGTACAGGGATATACCTTGGACATTTCTGCAACGACTCATTGTACCAATCTATATAATTAATACGCGAACACCAAGTTTGTCAGTTGAACTCCTCCGGAATTTCTTAACCGATTTTATCCATTGACGTCTCATTGGAAAGAGCGTGTCGCGTAGATTTGCAAACTGGCCTTACATTTTTGAAAAAAGTCCCTTGGGCTCTGCCCCAGTGGCTTTGAAAGTTCCCATGTTACCCTTATGAAGAACATAATTGTTAAAATTTTGATCAGCTGTATGATTTAATTGCTGTTAATATTTAAGCTGCAATTCAAAGAAATGCATCCTACAAAAATTAAATCATTGAAAGAACTCATTTGCAAATTATTGAAACATTAAAAGTCATAGAACGCCACCTAGTCACTAATGATTGCACCAATCGTTAACAATTAAATTGGTAAACAGCTGATTAGTTGAAGTTCGAGGCATTACAATTTTACTTATTTTCTCTCAATCCTTGAACCTCATTGGTCCGTTACACGTGTTTTTAAGTAAAAAAAAAAAAACAATGCTGTTAAGTGAATCTTTTTAATTCTAATAACTGAATTTAAAAAACTAAACACTTTTAATAAACTAAAATATTCTAAGAGCTAGTTTAATAAACGGTCGTAGGTAAACTATTTTTCAACATAGAATACAAACAAGTCTTTGTGTCACATTTTATTTCCAGCTTCCCCAAGTTTTAAAAACACAAAAATTGAAACGGAAACTTTCGTTACTTAAACACATTGTGGTTGGCTAAACTGTGCGGAATACCAAAATACACTAACAAAGAGTCCACCTTTTACACAAAATTCCACCCGAGCCTACCATTGTTTATTGACAAACTTAAAGCCATAGGTTTGACAACAAAGAAACTTTTATCGATTTGACTATTTTCAACATGTTTAAGCAATAATTTTTATTATTTGTGTATTTTTCACATTATTTGACCTTTTACTTTTATTTCACCTTGCCGCAGTTGGTTCAGGACAGAATAGTCGAGAATCTACTGTACTTATTTAGAATGAGTGTAATTACATGAATCTACGTTTTTGTTTTAACCATTTCTTTTGACAAAACACTCTGATACACATTGAGAAGGTGACTTGCACTTTGTACCATTGACTTTTGGATGCTGAAGTAGTGATCCAATTTATCCGGACCAGCTGAAGCTAATAATCAAACAACACACGTTTAATGAGCAACATAGAGATGCTATAGCTTATGTCGTCCTATCAACACACTGTCAGAGACTCAATTCAACCTTAACGGAGGGGGGATGCTACTTACACTGAACATTGCACAGTATGGCTGTAGCTCCCATCTTGTTCAGCATATTCAGCCACACTCTCTGCTTCATGGACAGCTGATCGTTGGGACTCTTCACCTCCACGAACATGCACTGGAAAACAAAACGGGTAAATTATCTATATAAATTAAATCACAGTTTTTCTGTACATTGTGTACAATAATAAAGTTTTTTGGTGATTTCTACTAGAGGTGTGCGGATAGTGAAATTTCAGTTCGGATCGGATAGTTAAGGCTCGGTTCGGATCAGATCGGATTATTAGTGATTCGGATTTAGATGTTTTCGGATTAGGATAGTTTGAAATCCAAGTACATAATAAATAAATATTAAGGTTAGGAATTTATAATTTGCATTACAAAAACTACAATATGAATACTGCACAATAATTGTGATATTGTAAGTGGAGCAAGGTAAAATCTCAGTGCAGATCTAGTATTATGACACATTCAATTTACATGGCAAGGCAATGTCTCAGTGAATGCCTTATAATCGTGATATAATCTGTTAAAATACATAGTCTACCTGAAAAAGTCAGATATTTAATGGATTGTGTCGGATAACCGAATCTGACCTGATTTTTCGGATATCTGCACACTTCTAATTTCTACGTTCATGGCCTTAGGAAGCCAAAATGAGTTTTATCTCAATTTATATCTGTCTGTCATTGTGTCTGTGATGCCAAAATTCCAATTTACACTGCCTAATCTGAGAAAACTAAGGTACTGATCGAAAGTCAACTCTGTTTCCTGTATTCATTGGATTTGTAAGAATGTATTTACCAATCAAAACATGGACCTACATTGGATGTATTCCAATGATGATAATGGAAATATACCAACCTTTTTCTCCTGAGGATTCCACATTGTGAGGTCAGGAAAGCCGGCCTTGTATGTCTTATGGTGACGTAGCAACAGTCTGCAAAGGTTCAGGAACAGGTCTATGTGGAGAGAATTGATGAAGCTCTGGAAACAAAAGTGTTGGTAGAGAGCAAATGAATAGTGTCGTACATATTGCATATGACTATCAATACTACGAGACATTCGCCTTCCTGTTGAGGTTGTTGCGAGTCTTAGAATAAATATTGGCATAGACTAACCAACACAAGTAGACTTCTCATCCCATTGTAAATTTTGAAGCACGTTTTTCGTGTCTAGTTCATGTACGTGACACAAAGGCGCTAGTGTCGATGAAACTTCGTTTCCATTATTTTAGGGTTAATTTCTTGATTTGTGCTTTACTGTTTGGTTATATAACTAGGGGACAAGTTATTGTTTATGATTAGATCGTATTATTTGGCTAAACGAGGTTTTAAATGGCTGTAATAACGGGAAACAAATTGTAAACAAAACACGACCTCTGCATAAACTGTACATGAACTAACAATAAAATTGTCTTCAGCTGTTCCATAAGGATGAGAAATCTACTAAGGGAGTATGTTTTATCTATGATATTGGATTGATCACGGTTGTGTTGAGCCCCCAACAGTGTGTGCTGATGTAAATTAATTATTTATGTCAGATATGTTAACTTTTGAACCATTTCAAACTTATAGGACAATTAAGTATAAGCTATAAGATCGTTTATGTCACACCCAGTAGTAAAAAAAGTGGCTCATTCAACTACAGCAGTGTTCCACTATTCTGAACCCCACTATTTTGAAATCCGCCAATTCCGAACTAAAGTTAGGGAGGGATTATAATTAATTCTCAAAGACATTAGTATGAAGCTAACATGACATTGAGAACATCTTTCACAGTCACAATGATACTCATTGTCTCCTGCGATCTCAGAAAAACCATGAACATCACCCACAAGGCAAAATCATCGATTGTGTATCTTCGCAGACAATTTTTGCAATTATGAAAACAAAACTTCGGCGTGGTCACAGCAAAATTATGAAATTCTTATGAGGTTACGGTGAAATCTTGAACATCTTCTGCGGTCACAGAGACATCATCATTGCCTCCCGCGATCACAGAAAATGTGACCATCATACACAATCGTGATGATCAATTACTGCAGGAATCTGCTTGTACTACTGGTTTTTAATTAATTAGGTACTGTTAATACAAACAAGGGTTCGATCCAAGTTAGTTCAGAATAGCAAGCCTCTACTGTAGATACTTTTTTTGATAAAAAAAATGGGCTGAGCTGGCATGGGATTTTTACTTCAGTAGACATACAAATGTCGACGAGATTACCTAAACATCAACAGCTATTTTACATCTTTACAAACTACTTTCTCATACTTACGGTGCAACTACAATTCAATGTTTATCTCGATTACATGTGGAGTGGTTACATGACATTTTTAATGTAACATTTTTGTTTATATTTTTAGATGTTTTAACTTAACATAAAATTACTCGATCATATTGCCTAATTCCATTAAAAAATAAATCACCCACTTAAGGCCCAATTGTATATCACAGGCTATTAGTTGTCTTTTTTACTTGTAAACTAGCCCACTTGCCACACTCACTCAAAAGCTGTTATTTAACAAGAAAAAGTTGACGCTGCTGGCAACTTCAGGCACCACTCACAAGATTTTGAGCGAACTAGATCGTAAAGTAAGCCATATGTACTCACAGTTGCTTGAGACTGACAATCAAGCATTGATGTTATAACAACAGATCCTTGCACAGAAGGTTGATTTGATTCTTTTCTTTTCTTAACAAAAATCAACTAGAAACAGCTGTTTTAGTTAACCAACATTTAAGTCTTACCTCTATGTAATCAATGCGTTCCAGGTACTTCCAATTTACAACACTTTCTAGTCCTTTATTCTTTTCATGACACTCTAGAAACGTTGCTAGTACAGCTTGCATATCTCCCTCAGCCAGGTCTTGCAATTTGCTCTATAAAAACGTTCAGATATCGTAAAAAAAAAGAATATAAATAAACACATATTCTGCTAGTTAAAAAGATATGTTGGAAATTAATTTTCGAACAAGACTTTACTCATTGGTTTTTGAATTAAAAGAAAGGTTATATAGATTTCTTTATCATAGGATGCTAGGCTTCAGCCCAAGATTGTTTTTCAAATTAATTCTAAATTTTTTTCTAGGTTTTTTCTAGGTTTTTTTCAGGCTAAACCTAGAGGTTGCGACATTATCACTTAGATCAAATCTATTGGTAATTTTGGAGAGATTTAAACCAGAGACTTTAAACCAAAACAAGAGTCCCGTGCTCTACCACTAAACGAGCTGGCTTCTATTTACATAAAGATCGTAGGCTGCAAGGGGTTACAGTGTGTCTATATTGAACTGATAACTGGGATACACAAATTCGTATCATACCGACCCATGGATGATAGAAAACGAATTAAAATCACCTTAAAAAGTTCCTTCCTCCTTTCATAAAAAGACTCGCTGTTCCAATCAAGAGGAGCAGTTTGATACCCTGAGTGGAACACTCCGTGACCGTCCACCCACGGTTCACCGTAGATCTCGTCCCAGAAACAGGCAAACACGAGCGACTTGATAATAGAGCCTTCGTCATGGATCCCTACGAAAACATAGATCGTGGAATTAGTGGGTTGACCATAATAGTAGTTTTACAGATAGAGTAAATTTAGTTGAAAAACTAAATCAAACAAAAAAGTTGATATATTGTTTTTCTTATTCTGTATTGTTTATGGACTCCAATGGAAATCAAAAATGTAAGTCACTTTTCAAGCTAAAATTGCTCCAAGTCTAGGTCATCAATATCAAAAACAACATTGTGATCAAACAAAAACACAATAAGAGAATACTTTTGCTGTAGAAAAAACAGGGTGCTGCTTTATCAAGAAAAGTATATAAACCAAACTAGTACCAGGGCACCACAGTAGGGCCAATTTGTAAAAATTGTTATTCTACGCTTAACTTTTTTTTTGTCCTAGGACGCTAGGCACGAGCCTGGGATTGTTTTTCACATTACTTCAGGGTTGCGGCACTATCACTTAGATAAAATCCATTGGTGACTTGGCAGGGATCGAACCCGGGACCTCAGGGACTGAAGTCCCGCGCTCTAACCACTACGCCAGCTCGCTCCCTGGTGCAAAAGGTATAGACAATACATAGGCTAAGGAATTACTAGGAGACACTTTTATACTAGGCCTATAGATATTTGTGAATACATTTAATGCAGTTAATGTCAAACACCAACAAAATATCAATTTTGAATTGTAACATAATTGAAATACCATGTATGTATCCTTGCTGTTTGAAATGCTCAATGGCAACCTCTTCCACAGAACTCAGCATAGTACCTTCCGCAACATCTCGGACATAGACAAGCTTCCTTCCGGTCCTGTTGCTGTAATCAAATAAACAATATAATTAAAAACATTTTACATAGGGATTTTCATGGATAGACTCAACTGTCTGAAAGTCAATCAACCCTGAAGATGGCACTCTACATCAAGGCCAAAACGTTGGTGAATAGAAGTGATTCATTAATTTCCGTATATCCATTCCTCGTTCCTTAATGTACTGTTGACCAGGGAATGAGCTGATCTAGTGGTTAGAGCGCAGGACTTCGGTTCCAGAGGTCCCGGGTTGAAATCCCACCAAATCACCAATGGATTTTATCTATGTAATAATGCCGCAACCCCTAGGTCTAGCCTGAAGTAAAGTGAAAAACAATTCCGGGCTCGTACCTAGCGTCCTAGGACAAAAAAAATGTACTGTTGACCAAGAACTTTTCCATCAAAAACCTCAACATTAAAAGGTGAAAAGGTCATCGGTTCCATTCTGAGAAAAGTAAGTCGCTTAATGGTTCCAAACTGGACCCAGCTGTCCCTGATCATTGGGCTTTTAAATAAATGATCCTGACAGATAAAACAGCTGTTCTTAGTGAGTGACTTAGCCATACAGATCATCACACACTATTCTACACATATTTGGGTTAAAATACACACCAGGTGGTGTCCCCATTTCAATAAATTCATGGATTGATTGATTAAAGAAGTTTATTTTAAAACCCTCATTTATCGAGTTTTTACACTTGACAACCAGCGTTGAATGAAATATTTGATTGTATGCTGTACGAGTGGTATGAGCCCATTGGTGGATGAGCTGCAAAAACTTTAAAAATATAATTTCTTATACAGAATAAAAACAAGGTTAGGTTCTAAGGCCTCGTACCCGTTGAGTGCTTGTTCACTGATAGTCACAGTTGGCGGGTCATCTATAGTCTCCACCTGAGTCCTCAGGGAGGCCAGGGCATCCTTGAGCTGATCAACTATGCCGTTGGTCTTGCGTCTTTCCAGCATTGATGCCCTGGCACAGAGAACGCGGCGAGCCACCTCGTCTATATACTCATCTCTCAAACCACGCAGCACTGTGTGACTGGCCTGCGGGAACAAGTAGACACAATATGAATGTTACTATCTTCAAATCAAATCAGAATACACTTTATTCATTGCAATTGAACATTACATTGAACAGAGTCAATCTATATATATAAAAGGCAAAGCCCTCACTGACTGACTCACTCACTCACTCACTCACTCACTCATCACTAATTCTCCCACTTCGCATTTACCTAGGAGGCTGAAATTTGGTACACTGATTCTTTAGGCATTAAATAGGAAAACTAAGTGGTTTTTATTCTGATCGGACTCTCGGGCTCCGCCCCAGTGGCTCTGGAATTTCCCATGTTAATCTTATGAGTACTTATATTTAAATGGAATTAATGAATCTTAACAGCTGTTTCAATTAAACAAGTTGGTTCTGTTCTATGATGTTCAATAGCATTAAAGTTACAAGGATTACCAACAGGGTGCAGCACCATTATTTCTTTTACATTTATGACAACAGCTAATTTGTAACCAAAAGGTGAGTGAGCGTAGCGAACGAACTTCAACCTCAAGGCGAGTGAGCGTAGCGAACGAGCTAACCTGAAGGCAAGTGAGCGCAGCGAACGAGCTCCAACCTAAAGATGAGTGAGCGTAGCGAACGAGCTCCAACCTAAAGGTGAGTGAGCGTAGCGAACGAACTTCAACCAGGACATGATTGAGCCATGCGAACGAGATCATCTTGAAAATTAAGAAGTGAAACGGGGCAAAGCCCGCGGGTCACAGCTAGTAATTTTTACACTTGCAAATAGAATAGACTATCTTTTGCAGTTTTATTTAGTATCTTAAGTCCAAATTTTTTTTTAATAATATGATTAATCCAGGTACAATTTACTCAACTTTGATTTTAGCGAATTTCCCATATAAAGAATAAGCTATTAACGAAGTACTCATGGTAAGACTTGGACCCGGGACCGATTTACTTTTTTGTTTTGAAGTCCCTAGAGACCAAAAACACCAACCATTCAAATTCATATATATATGTGTGTCCGTTAGCACTATAACTCATACTTATACTTACTTATATTAATCAGCAAGTTTGCATACATTCAACAGTATTTGAAGACAAATTACAGAAATAAAGATTACAAAATGAATGATGCAACGCTTTTTTTAATTTTCCAGCCATTGAGCTATTTTTTCTTACCCATAAAATAATTACACTCAAACTGTATACCACAGATCTGCAGTATCCTTTAATTTTCACACTTCCATACTTACTTTGATGTTATCCTTCAAGTTGTGCTGATACAGCAGAGCCAGCTGTTCATACCACTGACCCCGCTTGTGTCTGGCAAACAGACGTTGGTTCAGCAGCAACTCCAGTGACTGCTCGGCTTGCTGATGAGTCTCAGGGGACTTCCTCAGCACTTCCACACCCGAACTGAGTCCCCGCACCCAACACGCACCTGCAGTGAACCTCCGCAGCCAATCAGGAGTGACCTCCACCTGAAATCTACACACACGAGGCAGAGTGAAAAATACCCTTTTAGCAGACGTCCAGGAGAGAAAATATTGACCTGTTATACCACTACCGTTGAATTTTTTCAGGTTTAGAGATAGGTTAGGTTGAATTAAAACGGAAACACAACCTGACCTTGGGTCAGGAATATAAGTATTCCTGGGCGACACATCTCTGGTAACTTAGTAAAGAACGACAAATATAGTCTAATGATGGCCACATGCTAAACCAACTTTACCATTGCATTACAACATAGGTCTACATTTATCTTGCATAGTATTTATATTGCAATTATCTATCAATCATGGTTAATCCACAGCGTTGTCAATCCAATCGTGGATAATAGGAAGTCAAAATGCAATTAGAATAAATAAATTTTGATGGTGTTATCTTATACTTTACCACCACAAATAATAACTAAAGACCCGGTAATCAACAAGGACAATCCCTAACTCTGCATATTACCACCGAACCTAACAGGTGATCACAAAATGATAAGTCTTAGCTCCAGCAAGATTTATAATCATGAACATAAGACACGATTTATAATTGGACTCAAGATTATGCTTGCTAAATATTTTAATGAGCTAGTTTAATTCCAAACACTCTGCCATTGATCAAGGCCCCACTAGTAAAAAATGCCATGCTGCAGGATCTACAGTGTCCCACTTGTGAATAGATTCACTGCCATATCCTATATAATGTTTAAGGTAAATCAGCTGGCTGTTTGTCAGATTTTAACAATATTACGTCTGGCAACTTTTGTACAACCATCCTCAACTGTGACATAGAGTTGTGCTGCCGCATAGCCTTTTTTTCTAGTGGGGCCTCGTATTGATCTGGACACATTAAAACTGTACATTGAGAATTATGAGTTTTTGAGTCTAGATATTATCTGTTATCCTACCTTATTTGTTCATCACAAAGGTAAGATTCAAGCATTTTACAAATTTCCCCACATTTCTTTACCACAGTATCATAATCTTTGACTTCTTTAGCTTCTTCAACTTCTGAACTCATTTTGATGGCATCAGAGTACCTGGAAAAATATTCATGGTATAATAATCTCAATCGTAATTAAAAATAGTCACACAATTCAAAAACTTATAATGAATTTTTCTGTTAAATGTTTTCAACAAAACATGGTAATGTTTACACAATAAAATTTTATTTTGTGTTTCCCATCTTCTGTTTTTGAAAGCAATTCACATTTTTTCAGCAAAGTTAAGATTTAGAGTAACTGTGCTGCCAAAGGATCCTGAGCAGGTAGTGTGACAGCTGTTTCGTTAAGGCTACTTCAAAATAACTATTTTTAAACCAAAAGCCTAAAGGTAGGCCTATCTCAAATTTGATCTTTTGCTTCTCATGAGTAGTTGTATCTACTTTCAGGCCAGAAATTGCAGATGAGCTTAAATGATGTTTTATTGATACTAAATCTTAATCGAAATTGATACTTACATTTGAAAGTCCGCTCGTGAGTGAAATATTCTAGTTCGGTCGACTTCATATTCTGGAAACTTGAGTCCTTTCAGTTGACCCACAAGTCTCAGTTGATCGGAGAATCTGTCCTTCTCGGCTCCATGGTAGTGGGGGTAAGAGAACAACAACAAGCAACGGGAGATAGTCTCCAAGGGGCCACTGGCAACTTTAATTAACGACCCCAATCTTCCGTAAAGTCTGGAATATTACGAGACAGTTAGTAACCTTGAGCTATCTATGAATCCTGTCAATTTTATATTTAGGATAGTGGCAAGTTTCACGGAAATTGATGATGGAATTAAGAAAGAAATACCCCCGCCGCAGCAAACCTACAGACTACGCATATTTCTATCCAAAACTTATTAATTTTAGCGAATTTCCCATATAGGGAATAAGCTATTACCGTAGTACTCATGGTAAGACCTGGACGCAGGACCGTTCGTTTTGAGGTCCCTAGAGGCCAAAAACACCATCCGTTCAAATTCATATATATATATATATTTATATATTTATATATTTATATATATATATATATATGTGTCCGTTAGCACAATAACTCGAGTAAAAATGATCCGATTTTGATGAAATTTGGTACAAACGTGTAAACCTACGTTTATTCGACCGAGTTCGCGATCCAGCATGATCGGACCATGGGAACGGGGGTTTACGGGGGGTTTTATGGGGTAAAAATAGGTTTTTCCCATTTTTGACCCAAAAAACATAAAATTTAGCAATTTCTTTCCAAACCATTTTGTAGAGCTTAAAAAAACAAATAATTTAGTATATTGAAGCGTTGTTATGCGCCTAATGGTTACGGAGAAAATTCCAAAAAATTGTAAATTTAAAATTCCCATGTTATTCTTATGGAGAATAAGTAAACTGTTGTAGTTTGCTTGTTTATGAACATATTTTGATCAAATTTGGAAAATGTTTTTATTTCTTACTAACTATTAACATTTTACAAAAAAAAAACAGTTTTACCCTCCCTGATGCAGCAAACCTAAGTACTTGTTAAACTAATTCTATTTAAATAGGGAATAAATGTGATATTTTTAAGGATGCATTTTAGTGTAAATCCAATCAGTCAAATGGAAATTCGCTTAGTCTGCAGGTTTGCTGCGGCGGGGGGTATTTCTTCAATATCCCTAGCATATACCAAGTTTTTAACAAAGGCAAATGGAAAGGACGACTGTTTACTATAGCATCTCATGTGCCATATCAACAATAGTTTAAAATACTAAGAAGGGTAAATATAAAGTTTGAACCTGATCAAACTCTATGAGAGGATCATCCAACTACATTATATTTAACGAAAAAATTTTGCTAAACGTAGCCCATGTAGATGGATGTCTACTTTCATATCCAAAAGGCATTTACGTAACACAAACTAAGCCATACCTTTTTTTTCTACGCCAGTGACATTGGCATTTCACAAGAGAGGTCACGAGAAAATAAATGTTTGGTGGATGTACCGAGAGTTGAACCCGTCCCTCCTGAACCGGTCGGAGACGCTAACCACAAGGCACTAACACACCAAATTCTGAACTCCTAATACTGTAATTTATTAGAAGACAAATTCGGCGTTCTTCTACTACCACTACTATACCTCATCATGTGACCACCGGTGATGACAGGGCTTTTGTTGTTACCACTTGCCATCTGTGGAACACCCGTACCCTGTACATTAAGACCCTTGAAAACATTCCTAGTTTGTAGCGGCACTGAAAAATCTCTAAACTTTGAGCAGATGGTCTCGACTGGCGTGTCCTAAGCTAAAAAGTCTTTGCACGATTGCTGGTGCAAGTGCGCAAGAGTGTGTTTTAAATGTATTTCTTATTGTTAAATATGCATTGGTTTTTTTTTTAATTGACTGAAAAAAAACATTTTTATTTCATTGCATTAATTTATATTACTTTACCTGTTCCTAAAATTATCTCCTACTGAAGTGTCGTTAGAAGCCTGAATTGGCTTAAAGAAGCTTTTTATAGAGCCTTTCTGTGTAGTTATCACCAACAGCCTTGATATTAAGTCTTCTTTAACACCACCTTGTGGTAGTTTGTATTCTTTGCACAGTGCTTTCAAGTCTGGTATTTGCAGCAGATTTAATAAATATTCAATGCTTTCATTGCTGTAGTCTGGAAAAAGTTATTAAAATAACAAATCAGGTTTTATTAGGTAAGATATTACTTAATTATAGGTAAAAAAAACCCTAAAATTAACTTTTTTGGTGCTGTAGGCCTATTTCTTAAATTTAGTGCATGAAATCTCAAATCGTATAACTAGTACGGTAGGCTACTTCTTTAATGTGTTTTTTGTAGCTCCAATAACCTAATCCTTCCAGTACCATACTCCTTTAAGCATGAAATTCATTATGGTAGTTATTGCATTATTTTGTGCTCAGTGCCAGATTTACGGTATCTGTAGCCCTAGCAGGCTCCAACACTTAGATGAAAATTTCAATTTTTATTCTAAACCAGAAAACAGAAATTAAGTTGGGTAGGTAAGGTATACTTTAATATGTAGCTACATAAATGTGAGCGATTTGCCACTGGCAAAGTGGCCAAGTAATTTAAATAAATATAGCCTAAGTAATTAATAAATACTATAAATTATTTATTTTATAAATATAAATATTTTCTTCTTGGCTAAAGAAAATACTAATTTTAGTCATCAGATACAGTAGAACCCCTACCAAAATAAAGGGGGGAGCTGTTTTGGATAACCAATTTTTTTTAGCTTGTCATATGCTAAAAATAGCCTAGGCCTATGTATTACAAGGATGTGTAGGAAAAATTAATTTAAAACAATGTCTATAATGCAGTATTTTACCATGGATAAAACATACTCCCTTAGTAGATTTCTAATCCTTATGGAGCAGCTAAAGCCATTTTCATTGTTAGTTCTGTCCGTTCTGTCCGGTGCACTGTAGAGATCGCGTTTAGTTTACAGTTTGTTTCTTTTTATTTCAGCCATTTAACACCTCGTTTAGCCAAATAAAACAATATAATCATAAACAATAACTCGTACCTTAGTTAGTTATATAACCAAACAGTAAAGCACAAAACCTGAAATTAACCCTAAAATAATAGAAACAAAATTTTGTCTACACCATAATGCCCAGTGTCACCGTACATGAACTAGACATGAAAGACTACAATGGGATGAGAAGTCTACTTGTGGTTGGTTAGTCTATGGTTTTACTTCAGCTAAAAAAATTTATAATGGGTTAGAAAATACTTTTAACTAAACAACTGAAGTTCCCCTACTTATATTTTAGCCCTGTATTATTTTATGGAACTTTGTCGAATAACCCGGGTTTTGATTAACCCGAATTCGGTTAACCGGGGTTCTACTGTAGCATTAGTATCAGCCTGGAAAAACACTAAAACTTAAATACAGTAGACTATCAGCCTAAATTACCTGAAGTTATGAATCCTTTCTGTTCGAGAAGCACGAGTGCTAACTGAACATCTGCAAATTCTCCATACTTAGACCCAATTGACGATGTTTTGATCCATTCTATTTTTCGATTCAACAATCGAGCATATATTCTTTGAGACGGCTGGTCAAGTGACTGGAATTTGTTAATGATATCATAGTCTGCCTCGCTGAGTAATTTTTCTTCTTCTTCAGAAACAGAGTCGTGCATCACTGCTTCAATCAGTACTTGCAAAATAAATGCATTGTAGAAATCTTTTCTTTTAGAATTTGGAGTTTTCTTTGCCGATTGTGGAGTCGACGTGTTGCTTTTAGCTGGGGTGTTCTTATTTTTCTGGGGTGTTACTACTGAAGCTGACATGATTATTGTTGTCGATTCAGGATTGGGAGAAGGTATGTTGTTCGACAATACAATATTATTTCCTACAGAGTTGGGAGGCGAAGAATGATCGGTAGAAGTTTTAGGGAGTTGACTGTGGTGTAGTGAAGCAATGTCAGAACTGGTAGAGGGTTGATTATGGAATGGCAAAGAAGTACTGCCATAACTTGTAGACGGTTGACTAGCACAACTATTACTACTCACCTGACTCAAATGTTTTACTCCATCTTCAATGACATTGCGCTCTTTGACAGGGAAGAAATTTTTAATACTATTTTTAGGATCGGGATTATGAACTTTCTTTTTAGGCGTCGGAGTTCTGGGACTGGGCTTCTTTCTTTTTGGACTTGGAGTCAAACTAAAGCGATTTGGACTCCTTTTGAGGGCAGGTGAAAGAAGAACAGAGTTTGTTGACGGTTGTGTAAAAGCACAACTCTCACTCTCTCCCCAGATAGTACTGAGAGCACTTTCATTTGGATTTGGGGATTCTCGATTTTCATTTGCTCCAAACAAATCTTTCCGCACTTGTACTTTTGCTTTTTTTAAGCTTAGTTTCAGTTTGGACCCCATTTTTTTTTATGCAGACTGCTATCTGGAAAATACACAAAACCAATATTTTTAGAAACAATGAGTTTTCTTGATTAAACAAAGTTCAGGTAAATTTATAGGCATGCACTACTTAGCTCTCTAATATCATTAGCTTTTAGGCCTAATTAGTTTTTAAAATCAATCTGGGCTACGGTATTTATTGTATAATACAACTAGAACCTAAATTGTTGTTGCATTTATTCAGCCTACATCACAATTTCTTCTGTCAATTTTTATCATTTAGTTTATTTATCTTATCATTGTTATTTTTTTATCATTGTTAGGACCTAGCTCTAGAAATTGCCTATCCATAATGTATTTTCTTGCTGTAAAGTGGTTTTGTCGTTGGGAATAAATAAATAAACAAAACACTCACATGATCCTCTACTCTATTACCCTATCTAATCCTGCAAAGCTTTAGTTCTTCTTTGGCTCTAAACATGAATCTCCGAACCACATTATGTTTTTAACGTATCAAGAGGTTTGCAACCAAGATCTTTTTCTTTTCTAGGCCTGTTTATACAATGTAAGAAAAGCAAATGGTGAGTCGATAACTACAAAAACTAATTGTGGTTATGTTTAGGCTTGGATACATTTCAAGTGGCACCACTGGGACTCCAACTCATGACATTGCTGCTGTAGTTTCAAGACTATTATGCAACCGAATAAGCCACTGACTAACCAAATGTTTACTTGGTTACCTAGCATGCCACCGAATTAACCGGGTTGCCAGTTGAACGGTACGTGCAGAGTGCACGCCAATTCAGATTTTCGGCACTTGGTTAATCCGAGTCAGATATTTTGTTGGTGGCCACAGTGGAAGCAGGACATACGCTACCGGTACTGACTCGGTTAGCAAAGAAACAAGTCAGTCGTTGTTATGGAATTGTCGGATGAGGAATTAACGTGTAAAATTATAGTGTCTGTGATATGTTTTGAACATTGCTTTAATAGCTGCTGACTTTTAACTTGTTTTTGTAATTGTTTTTTTTCTAGTTTTTGACTCAGGAATAAGTTCAGTTCTATTTTATTAAACTAATTTACCTATCAATTTGTGTATTTACTTCAGAACATAAAAGTCTGAAAATGTTGTGAAGTTACAGCCAGTGAAAAATGGTGTTCATGATATGGTGTTCTCTTTCCCTATAGCTAGAAATGATAGCCTATAGCTCCTTTCTATATTGCGTTGAGTGGGAACCACTGAAACGTATTATTAAAATTGGACATCGAATTGTAAGAAACTGGTGTAACCTTCATTAACAAATAAATCCTTAAGACCGTTTAGTGGTAACCCTAAAAGTAAGAATGAAAAAAATAAATATTTTACTATAAAAACATAATTTATTTAACTAAATAGGCCTAGTATGCGGGTAAGAGCAGACTCTTAATCGGAATCTGAAACCAGAATGAAGAATTCATTCTGGTAAGCAGGTGCCTGCACGTGGGCTCAGAAACTGGCAGTCACTACGACCACTTCCATTTTAATGCAAGTGCCATTCCTGCCGCCGAAAATCTGAATCTGAAACTGAATCGGCATGCACTCTGGACGTACCGGCAAAGCAACACTCCCGTATCTACCACTGGCACCCGACTCAGGTGGATCAGTGATCACAGACCATTAGCCCAGGTCAAGATTTACAACAGAAAATTTATTCTTTCTCTTATACGGTAGACTAAGTAAAATTCCAAGAGATCATTACCAAACAGAAAGTGGTTCCTTTCAACAAACACAGAGGATACGCTTCCGGTAACCGGTCATGGATTAGGCGTCCGGCAGTGACGTCACCGGGTTGAGGGGGCCCGAAACGCCATTACCACAACGATACGATGTACAGCCATCGGTGTTCGTGGTGTAATGGATAGAGTGCTCCGCTGACATGCAAGAGGACTCTGGTTCGAATCCCATCGGTAACTTTAACTTTTTAACAAAGATTTTGCTTTGAATGCCATTTCTTCTTAAATCTACATCTTTTGTTAGAATTATTGGCATCTATAATTCTATTTTATGAACAGAATTTAACGTTCATTCGATTTTTTCATTATCTAATGAGACTAATCATCAGCAAGTTTGGTTGGTTAGGTTAGGTTATGACAGTAACTGCCGGAAACCTAATCCACGTCCGGTATCCTCTGCGTTCAACAAAAATGACAAATAAGTAGGCCTACCAAACTTATTTTACTTAATTGCTATGACTTACCCAGCAGAAGATCTAACTTATTAGTCTACCACCAGGTTTTATTTAACTAAGTTAACTCTGTTACGTCAATCTAAACATTTAAAAATTCTTAAGTGGTAGGAAATTGTGTGATCTTTTTCATAAAAGAAAACATTGTATATTCTCCAGAAAAAATAAGGAATAAACACCCCTAAAACAAAATTATGGGACGTGCATTATCTGTTTTGTCTGCACTAGCAAAATACAACACAACAACAACAACACAAAACACAACTCCAACCCAACCCGTGTCCGCACTCCGCAGTGCAGTCCACTGAGCTAAAATTATAACTGGAGGTAGCACTGAATGTCAAAGATGCGTGTCGCCAGCCGCCATGTTTGCGTGAGGTGTGAGTTATAAAGAAGCCATGTTATTGGGTGAAAAAACTCACTGCTATACAGACCTAGTTATAGAAGCCATGTCATTGGTTAAAAAAACTCACTGCTATACCAACCTAACAAAATCAGCGACACGCTCTTGACAGACTTCTGCCATGGCAGTGCTACCTCCAGTTATAATTTTAGCTCAGTGGTGCAGTCTATGTCTATGGTCTGCAGTCGCAGTGCTGACAAATATACACAAACAAAATAAATTCTCCTCTAAATAGACAATCCCGCGTTTTCAAGTTGGTGGTCTTTGGATTTGAAATTGAGTTATCAGCATGGCTTAGCACCACTGCTTAGCACTGTATTAAAGCATAGATTAAGCATACTCCCTTTTTTAAAGTTAGTAAAAAAAAAAACTCCATTAAGGATATGTTAAATGTTTAGTGGAAAAATGTAAGGAAAGAAAATGAAAAAATATTAGTATAGTCATAGATGAAACATACTCCCTTAGTAGATTTCTCATCCTTATGGAACAGCTGAAGACAATTTTATTGTTAGTTCATGTACGGTTTATGTAGAGGTCGTGTTTTGTTTACAATTTGTTTCCCGTTATTACAGCCATTTAAAACCTCGTTTAACCAAATAATACGATCTAATCATAAACAATAACTTGTCCCCTAGTTATATAATCAAACACTAAAGCACAAATCAAGAAATTAACCCTAAAATAATGGAAACAAAGTTTCATCGACACTAGTGCCTTTGTGTCACGTACATGAACTAGACACGAAAAACGTGCTTCAAAATTTACAATGGGATGAGAAGTCTACTTGTGTTGGTTAGTCTATGGTATAGTCCATGGTGGAAGGAAAATCTGCAATATAACGGATTCAATATACTACAAAATGCATAATATTAATCAATGATGGGACTAAAACCCGTACGGAAAATCCATTAGAAAATCCATTAGCGATCTAACATAACATTGTGTGGAGTGTTTAAAACGTGACATTACTTCATCCATGTTTGTTTGTATGTAAAACTTCACAAGACAAAGATAATCTTTTCACAATAATACAATATAATGTTTGAGCAGCTTATGTTTTCAGTTTCTTCATTAACTTAGTCAAACCTTTTATTCAGAAATCAGAAACTTTTTACTGTCGTAATTTGCAAGGTACATGCATTATTTATTACGTGTCGAGTCCAAAAGCAGCCCGGCGTCATTGTACTGTACAACTATTTGGGCTGAATCTCGGCTCGGTCTCACCAAATGCTTAATTGGTTTACCTAGCATGTCATCGGGTTAAACGGGCCTTCGTCGCAAGAAACACCCCAGCGGCCCGGCATTTATACTAGCGCCCGTTTCAAGCGGATCACAATCCATTAGCGTGGGCCAAGGGCACAAAACAAAATGGCGTCATTGTATCATCTGAGTTGACTCATTGAATCACTAAATGCTTATGTAATAGGCATGTCACTTGGTTTACCCTTGGAGCTGGACAGTTTTATAATTGACTGGCAGACAGTATCCTTAAATTTAAGGAAGATATATCTTTAGCTGCAGCTAGTACTAGTTTCATGAACGATAGCTGCTCTGGTGTGTATCAGAGAAACGCTGGCTAATCAAGGAATTTTTAACTATCCATTTCATACTTTCATTCAAGTGACTTAAACAAAATAACAGAGGCTTTGCAGAGCTAATTACATATGTTATATCAAAAATGCTTACTCGGTTACCCAACAAGTCCCCGGGTTAACCGGGTTCCCGTCGCAAACAATGCCCCGATATTTACCGCTAGTGCCCGACTCCGGCGGGTCAAAATCTATTAGCGTGGGCCGTGGGTCAAGACAATAGACAATGCCCTCCTTCTGTTACAGTATACTGTTGACCGGTTGACTAGGTTTTATATGCCAAAAGAAATAAAAGAAAGATCATTACCAATCAGAAAGTGGTTGTGTGAAAAAAGGGTAAATATAAGCACTGCACTTAACAGGAAATCTATCCCCTATGCCTTACACGCCAAACAGAATACCTAATACATAATTTGTAAAAAAGGTTTTATCAAACTCTGTTGTGTTAAACCGAGAATTTCAAAATTCTTTAGTTGTTGGCAATTATGTTATCTTTTTATAACAACTATTATATAAAACAATAGTAATATGCTCACCTCTAAAACATGAGACGTGCGCATCTGTGTCTTCACTATGCACTACTGACAGAAACAAAATGTCTTCTATTCTAAATACAATACCGGGTCTTCACACCAAAACCGGGGGGAGTTGGTGTGGTGGTCTTTGTGTTTGGAATGAGACGTAAATAATTTTGAGTTCTTAGTATAGTATAGTTTCCGCACTGTTTAAAGATAGTAAAAATCGGCATCAAAGCAAAGGATATTTTAATTTAGCGAGATTGTAAAGAAAATGTGGCTAAGATTGACATCATAATCTGCAGTGTAATTTAATTGGTACTACCAAGCACAATATTAATTGTTTATTATTCATCTATACTAACCCATGTAGCACAGATGGTTGGGCCAACGTTGGTAAATTGTGGAGCCACACAGTTGGCCAACGGTAGAAATGTCACCTCTTTAAACTGTTTTCCAGCCAACCATTGTCCAACCGTTTTATTTCACACAAAATAATAAAGATTTAGTACGAAAAGCAGAATTATTAGTTGAGTAAATTGATTAAATAGTTCATAAAAACAAATTTTGAAAAAAAGCTAGAACAAAATTTTTTGGCCCAGACGGGACTCGAACCCGGGTCCTTCGACTTATGAGCCTCTTACTTTACCACTGAGCTATCTGTGATTGTTGATATAGAGAGTTTTCAAGTGGTGAAAGAGTAGCTGACAGTTGCAATGGTCGCAATACTTCAAACATTTTTGATACTACACAGTATAATATGATTCTGTTAATCTGTTAAGGCATCAAAAGTAGTTATTTTTTTTGGGGGTTAGAGAGGATACTGGTTTTTGAATATAGATTAATTAATTACCGTTAGATTATTAATGCTATTATAATTGCCTGTTATATGATTAATTACTCTTTCCCCTTAAATTGTTGCAAATAAGTTAAAGAATATTAATTTAAAAAATATTTGCATTATTATTATTATTAAAATTCATTGTTGTAGCCCCGGAAATGTAATATATAAAATATCTGGTTTTACAATACCTTTATCAGTTCCAAAAACTTTTGGAAACTTTTGGAACTGATAAAGGTATTGTAAAACCAGATATTTTATTATAATTATGTTGTGAAAGCTAGACCCAGAGAATGAAAGTCGTGTAAACTCAACTATGGACCATCGTTGGTCCAACAAAAGTATCTTTTGTTGGTCCAACGGAGTGAAAAACGGTTGGACAACGGTTGGCTTGATGTATGATATCCAGCAATGCATATTAATGTATTTCATTAACAATGAACCAATGTTGGTCCACAGTTTTAAATATTGGTTGGCCCAACTACGAGATATACAGTTGGACAACGGTTGGTTGGTTGTGGAGGCTCCAACCAACCATCGACCAACTGTCCCACAGTTGGCCAACGTTGGCCCAACCATCTGTGCTACATGGGAAGACTCAACCCCAAACTGTATAGAAAATCAATTGGCAATCTAACAGACATATTGTTTGGAGTGATTAAAACTTAACATTACTTCATCCATGTTTATACGTCTATATTAATAGAAAAATTCACTAGAAAGGTCAACATAATTTTTTACAAACCGGGCGAAGCCAATTCAAAAATTTAGCGTTTTTAACAGCTTATATTTTAAGTTTGTTCTACACAAACCGTGTCTTACACGTGTTATACACATTGTTTTTCTAGCTCTGTTTTGCAAAACCACGCAGTTTTTCATTAGCTAACCAGTTATAGAAGATACCCGACCACTTATTTTTCCACAATCTAAGGTTTTCAAAGAATTAATATATCCACAATGTATTCCATCTGTTTAAGTACCCTTTGGAGTAGTTTGCTCGCTTTGAAATAACAATTTGTATGTGTTTTATATTTTTCCTATATACAATGATATATTTTCACAGTAATGTACTTCACTTTTCTATAATGTATCGTATTTTGTTCTGGCAATAAATTATTTGATTTTATATGAATCTGGACCTATATAGGGTTTTTAACAAACGATTCTAGTGAAACAGCAGCTGGTATTTAAATGAACCGGATGGAACTAGCATTAACATTATAATTATTATTGTCTTCAGCTGATCAAAAAGGATGAAAATTAATTATCGAGTCTAGTTCATGTTGGTGACACTGATCACTAGGGTTGATAAAATTTGGTTTATATTATTTTAGGGTTGATTTGATGATTTTGCTTTAATGTTGGTTATATAACTAGGGAACTAGTTAGTAGGTATCGTATATATTAGATCGTTTTATTTGGTTAAAAAAGGTTTTAAAATACTGAAACGACACGAAACAAATTTCAAACAAAACAAGACCCTTAAAGTTCACCAGAAGGGCCCAACAATAAAATTGTCTTCAGCTTCAGCTAATCCATAAGGATGAGAAATCTACTTAGGGAGTTTGATTCATGGTTATCAATGGTAATGATTTAGTGATAGTGACAATGAGTGAGCAACAATATTATTGAAAAAGTACGTACATAGGACTAGGACTTGTCTTCATCAAAATAATGATATCCATATCCTAGAGACATTGAAGTATACCTAAGTTTGGATTCTATAATCAAAGCTAACGAACAGCGCCAAAGAAGTTAATCACTTCCTCGAGCTGCTGATCAGTAAGTATGTAATAAAATCACAATGTTCTTCTTCTTGTTCTTTCTTCTATCAGGCTGGCTACAGCGGGCTGCATCAAATTCAGACAGAAACAGCTGGGACTGATGGGAGTGGAGTGAGTAAGAATAAGAACAAAAACTGAAGAAATTAACTACTGTACTACTGTGCTGTATGTTAATGTTAGTTTTCTATTTGTTAGAACTTGTCTAGGATTTGTAATTCAGTTTTTCATTCATGCATATTATTCTGTCGGACGATTTACGAAATTAGTATACCGATTACAATTCAACTCAAAAATGAATCGGTGTGTGATACCTGCAATCAGTGAAGATGTGCAAGGTGATGGCAGGTGGATGAGCCAGGTTAGTTTTACTCTCTTAAAACTAGGGAAGGCTGGCCTGATCTATTTTGCAGCTTGATAAAAACGGTATCAGTGTATGAGTTTTAGTTTATGTTAGAACTTAGGTGCTGCTACAAACCACTCAAGGTAGCTCAAGCTGATTAATGTAGAAAGTTTTTTATATTCTATGCTGAACAAGTAGGGAAGAACCACTTTAGGCAATTCAGGATACTTTTAAGCTATTCACTATGTTAATCACTGTTGGTTATTGATTACAGTTGCTCTCCTGACCCAATTATGTTGGGACAGTCCCGAATTTGGACCATTTTCCCATGTTTACTTAAGTCTGTTCAGGTACACTTCATATCTGTTGGCACAAACAACCGAATGAGTACCTACCTAACATTGATTATTCGATTGTTTAATTTGATATAACTTTTGGTTAGTTAGCCTAGGTTAATCTTATTTAACTAAACGATAACTTATATAAATCTTAATTGATAGGCCTATATCGATCGATATTTTCATTCGGTTGTTTGTGCCAACAGATATAGAAGTGTACCCGTCTGTTCATTCTGGGGGTTAGAGAGCTTTCCTTATATTTTTCTTTAACCAAAGGTGGCAACCCTGGTAGGCTCCTCAAGACTTTACTGTTAATTGGAAACAAATGACTTAACTTACAACTAATTGAAATACAAACTACATTTTACACTACACTTAAGTTTAGATAATGTTAGAGCAAACACTAGTAGCGTAGTCATGACAAGTAGACCTAGTTTAGTATGACAGAGAGTTGACAGTTACAACTTCAAGCAGCAAACTTGTTTATGACAGCTATTAGTAAGCTTAAATAAACCATTCAGCAAATAACTGGCAAACTGGGGGAGTGAGTTGATTGTGTTTGCCTAAGTACCTAACAAACAACAATTTTACAGTGAGCCAATGACGGTGATAAACTGTTGAAACAGCAAAGCAAAGATATCTACAATTGTTAAGTTCTAGACTTTTACTAAAGTCTACACAACCTTCCGAACAAAGATGCTGGATCTTTATTTTCACTCATAGCATAGCAATATCAAAATATCACTGGTTAAATAATCAAGTGTGGGGTATTTTTTAAATTTCCGAGTTTTACAGCTGTACATACTGTGCTTGTTTGAATCCATCTCTACCTGTAGCAGAGCAGCGCTTAAATTAAATTTTGCCAACTGTGGATTCCAAGATTGGGACTGTAGCGTTGGGGGATAAGGTCTACGGTATGCTGTAGCTTAGAAATTGTTAAGTAAGTTGTGCAGATCTACAAATTACTGTAAGTTACGGTAATGCCTTATAATTAGGCCTAACTGTTTAGTTTTTTGTTTCTTCTAAAACAACTTTACTGTGGACATGTTTTCTAGCATAACCAACATTTGGCAGACACCAAAGACAGAGAGCCTGATGTCCTGTGGATCGGGGACTCAATAATGGCTCATTTGAAACAGCGACCTATGTGGAATGATCTGTTTGAGCCGCTCCATTCCCTCAACTTCGGCGTCTCAGGTGATACAACGCAAAATGTTTTGTGGAGGATAAAGAATGGCGCACTGGACAATATTAAGCCAAAGGTGAATTATCAAATGCAACTAACTTGGTCGATTATTATGTTTGCCTACTAGGCCTAGATACTAGGTATTCTCATTATGTTGTGTATTGGTGGTTAGCTTGGGTGGTTGTTATAGGTGAACGATGCTTCTAGGTGTCAAACGAGGACACTCGCCAAGGATTCCTTCCTTTTAGGGGGCATTATGAATATGAATAAATGATATCTAACAGTGCTTCTGTGTGTATCAAAAGTTTATTCCTTCAACAAAATGTAAACCCTATAGTATGATAGCCTATATATAGACTTGATATATCTTGGTGTTTATAAGCTCTTTAATTGGTGATTTAGTAAGTTGACTAAATTACCACAATTAAAAGTGTCCAAATTTCAAATTTCTTGATTTTGGACTACTTCGCTAAGAGATAAAAACGTTTAAATTACCTCTGTCAAATAGCTGAACCATAATTATTCAGCCGAATCAGAATAATCAGATTATTTTGTTACAAAGACAGCATTTTTCAAAGCTTGTAACTTCACCAACTCATAATTTAAAGACACACAACACAAACATTAAAAGAGAATATACAAACAAACATATAGATATCGCTATAACAATAAAGCGTCAGGGTTGGTAGCAGGCTGATTCAGAATGCCTTTTTCTTTTCACAAAAACAACATTTTACAGAATCCAGTACTGTAGGCTTTTAAACACAATGATTAGTATTTCAGAACACATTATAGCTTTGTTTTTAATTTGAATACAGTGACCTTTTTGCCCCAACAAGTGGTTCAAATTAGGCGGACATTCAAATCAGCTCATTAACTTCAGTTTTTAACACGGTTCACAACAGCCAACATATTCCGAAGAAAACTTGCAGCTTGCACCCCGTTGCTCATTCCCGGAATGTCCAACCCCCATCCCATATAATTCAACCTCCAGCAAAGACCACAAAATGTAACTGTCAATGTTGTTTCCCAGTCTCATACAATTCTTTTGGTCTTTGATAACAAATTTTCAACATAGCCTACGTAAAAATATTAAGTGCCTCTTAAAAATTTCTCTCTATTTTTTAATCTATATTCTATTTTTCTATTTCTAAAGTTGCCAATCTAATATTTTCAGGTTGTCATAGTCCATGTTGGAACAAACAATTTTGGAGACTTGCCTGAAGATATCTCCGATGGAATTGTAGAAATTGTTAATGTCATTCGTGAAAGACACCCAGATACTTACATTGTTTTTGTGGTAAGTATGAAATATCAATTTCTAAGCTGGTGAATAGTTAAATGAACATTTTAAAGACATTTTATGTAAAATTTGTATTTAGTCTTATGTTCCAGAAAATTGGCAAGCCTCAAAACACCGCTGGCTATTCACAGATTTGTGTGCATCACAAAATAACAATAGTTTGTCCTTTTTAAAAACTTCAGGAGGGAGGAGTATATTTATTATTTATTTTGAAAATTGAGTTTATTATAATAAACATAGCCTATTGGACACAGTAACAATAAACTTAAATTTATGATATAAATAACAATTAACTTTGTGCTGTCCGTATAAATGATTTTGAATGATTACATGATCCTTTTAACACTTTTATGTCCAGGCCTATTTCATTTTTTAATTTGGATGGAAGATTATATTTTTTTCGAAATTTGTCAAAAATATTTTTAATAGTCCCTCTTGTACCAATCATTATGCCAATTACTGAATTTAGATTATATTTGTCTCTTAAATAATTATCAAAATTACTATAGCCTACATTTTTCTCTTTTCTTCATCAACTTCTAAGGGTTGGTTTTTTGATATTTCAAACGTTATAGTTGGATCAATTATAATTCCACTTTTAGATTTTGTGTCATATATTAAAATGTCCTATCTTCTGTTCGATCCACCATCTTCAGTGCAATGTATTTCTTCTACTACTTGCCAGCCTTTTTTCCGTAGTTCTTGTGCGATCATTGATCTTACAGCATGGTGTCTTGCATTACACAGTAAGGCACCAAAGAGACAAGAGCCAAGGACGTGTTTAATTTACTTTTATATGTTTTACATTTTAAAGAATAAAAGTAGTTTTTTTCCGGTTTCTAAAAAAAATCCAACCATCACACACAAAATATTAGTTTTACTTGCACTTTTGCCAATTTACTTAATTGTTATCTGTTAACTCGATAATGTTTAATTATTCAATCCATTGACCAATCTTCCACTAAGATGTGATATTTTATTGTACTTCCAATTAATAGTTTGCCTGTAGAATCATTGAAATGGGACTATCATAATTTTCAGATGATTATCACACGGTTTCAATACATTCATACCTGTTGGTTATTTTTGGGTCTGGGTGTTCACTAGGCCTCATCTTCCGTCACAGTTCCACTTCCCACACATACTGCCACTGCACTCCTCCTGCTTCCACATCTCATCTCACCTCGTCAATCCACCTTTTTCTGATCTCTTGGTCTTCTTCCGTTCATGTGAAGCTCACTAATATTTTTTGGGTAGGCCTACTCTATCATTTTCCATTCTTTTAAAGAGGCCAAACCGATTTCTCTACTCAATCCCTCAAACTTTTTTCAACTGTTCCTCTTCTCAACTCTTCATTCCTAATTCTATCCAGTCTTGTTTTCCCTTTAATACCTCTTACAAACTTATTGTTTCAATAATGTTGTTTTTAAGTTAGACAGAGGGCACTTTATTCATTTGATGACTTTTTAAAGTTGAGAACAGATAATAGATCTTAAAATTCAGACCAACCATTGCAACCTGGAGTAGTGTGATCAATACTGTCCTACTAATAATTTTGATTGTAGCCTACCTATTCATGTAATTCTTTATGTTAATTGTTTGACACTATTCATGTAAACATGTATTTACAAATATGAATAAAGATCTTTTGATTTGATTTGAAGTTAGCTTTGTGATACGTTTTTCAAATTTTAACCTGATATTAAGCTGATGGAGTTAAGTTCATTCTTCATCAACAAATTTGCTACACAAAAGACTGCTCTCAGGACCAGATGTATTGCTTGACAGACAATTAACCTAATCTTTCACACTTACTTACTTCTGGTGTCTTCGCCACGATCGTTTGATCGAGGAATCGTCAGTATTCTTCCATTTTCAGGGTTTGACTACGTGTTGTGTTTTGAGTATGTGTGTGTAACAAATTGTTTCAACAGGAACTGCTGCCTAGAGGACAGCACCCAAACCCTCTCAGAGAACGTAACTCTGCCGTCAATGAGTTGGTGAGAAGGAAACTACAGGGTCAACCAAGAGTACAGACCGTTAGCTGTGAGAAAGGTAACGATGATAAGTAAAACAATTTGTTTGTCATTGTCTCATTAAACGAATTCAATTAAGTAGTTTAAAAGTAGCCTATCCATTTTTCTCGATTTGAAAAAAAAAAAAACAATCTACAAAGGATGTTGATAAATTAAAGTCTTTATCAAACTCCTGTAGGGAGCCAAGCACGAGCTAGTTCAAATGTGACACCAAAACTTTGTCACTTTTCCACTATACTTTTCTGGCCTGTTACAATCTGTCCCCGATGATTAGTTTCATGGTCTAAAATTATGTCAAAAGAAATCTAAACTAAGTATGAAACACATTCGTAATTCTTGTAAAAATGTAAAGAACATTAAGTTTCTGCTTTTTTTAATCAAAATATAAAAACACGGTTTCATAACCTGTTCATGAAACGGTGTTTTTATATTTTGATTAAAAAAAGCAATTTTTGTAAACTACAAAATAGCGGCACTGTCACTTACAGACGGTTTGGATGTTATATTTACATTTTTTATGAAACCAAAAATAATACCTTAAAACGTTGGTAGAAAGTTGAAAACACCCTGTATTATATTTAACTTTTTATAATAATTGAAATAATAAATTATTCAACTTTGTTTGGTTTAGTTGCGTTGCTTATAACTTTTACCCTAAACAAATTTTAATCAACTTATTTTCTGGCAGGCCTAGTAGGCACGGACGGGACCATTAGTCACCACGACATGCCTGACTACCTACATCTCTCGGACGCCGGCTACCGCAAGGCCTTTGAACCGCTGCACGACCTGTTGCTGCAACTGCTCTCCGAGGGGGAGGAAGAGAAGGACCTGACGCCTTCGGAATGAATCATCGCAAAGACTAGCGGGTTGAGGGTTACCAGTGTTAGCAACGGAAAAGAATCTCTCAGAGCTTTAAAGTAGGCCTGTACATTTTAGTTCTATCGCCTCTTTTGTGAAGGGATCGAGTGAATACGGTTAGGTTCAACGTGAGCAAAAGTTTTGGTTGAAATTAATCTACAGATTGGGATGGAATATTATTCTACCTTCAAAAGGTTTGGCTTTGTTAGTTGCAGCTATATTTTTTTTCTATCCATTGTAATGCAGGTTGAACAATTTGTTTAGATTCCGAGAAACTTACTTGCAGTCGAACTACACAAGTGTAAATTTTGCTTTACAAATGTAACCGAATGTTGAACAAATAGAGGTAATGTCGCTCAGATTGTTAAAAGAACTATGAACAAATTTTTTACTATTATCAAGTTTATAGGCCACTTTCACTGTAAAGTTAACGCTAGTTTACTGTAGGGTAGGAAATAATCTTTCAATTACACTTACACTTCAGACTGAGGTTAGTGAATATGTTCGGAGTTTACGAAGGTAACAAAGTTACTATATGGTCTCAAGTGCGGCGCACCAATGAAAAGCATCACCAAAGTTTCCCGCTTTATTCGTTGTTCGGACAAGCGTTAGTGATATTGCAGGGATTTTAGTTTGTCTAATACTTTGTCAGTCACTTTAAGGTTATGTTTTCCAAGTTGTTTACTTTAGTTGTATTTTTTTTAGAATTGTCGAATCTTGAAACACTTTGCTTTATGTCTGTGATCAGTTAAGCTTGTATTTTTTCCATTTTGTACGCGAGCAAAATAATATACTGTAAATTTCAAAGAAATCAGACAAAACTAATGTGTGCATACTGCATTCTTATTTTACTGTGTCGTTTTGATGTTGATTGTTTTGAAAAAATTATGCATTTTCATAAGTAAGTTATGTGGAACCATTCAAAATTTTTATTTCTGCAAATTTGTTGGACAACTTTAAGTTAAAATTGAAGCAATTAATATTGTCGCTTTTTAATGACAAAAATAGTTAATTTTTCCAGGTCTTCACGTTTTTAGTCTTGGTACTGAAACAGTCTAGGTAATATTATTTGGGTCCATTTTACAAGACAATTGTGCTCAAACCGCATTGTGAAAAAATATGACAAATGACACAGCTCTTACATGTAAATACACAAACTCTTGCATAGGAATAATTTTACACTGTTTTAGTTGCATGATCAGAATATAACCCGATAATCAACAATAATGATTGAAAATGTAAATTAGTTTTTGCTCAAGATGTTAGATAGCGAACATAGTAAAAAAATATTTCATTGGACTAAACAATAAATCTGGAGGAATGAAAAAAACTAGAATAAAAATATTGAAGCTTGGTAATTTAAATATGGATCATGCAACTACATTTTATATGTTTACATTCCCCACCTTAAGTTTTAGTCGTTTGTTTTACTTTAGTAAGTTTCTTCATGATGTACTTCAATGAATTTTATATACATTTTTGTAACTGCTGTTTTTGTGTGGAAATTATTTTTGCATTGTATTATTCAATAAATTATAAAAAATCAACGGAATGCAACTTCTTTTGTATACCTGAATAATAAAAGCATTCAGATTTTTACTTGTGTCGAATTTCTTCAGCCCTTTGTGTCATCATTGTATAGTTATCGATGGATTTCTTGTTTTGAGATGCTGAAACATTAACAGGTGTTTGTGCAATTGCTAAACTAACCAAAATGTTTCATATACCTCTCAATTTGAAATACGTTGGAAAGTTTTTTAGAATTCAGTCAAGTTTTAAAAATTTTTCCACAAATCACTCTTTTTGTACACAAATCTCACACAGTGCTGCAATAATGACAATTATGTTTCGTCACATTTAATCGTTAATGAATGCTGTAAAACCAGATAATTGTTGAGCAATGGTGAGTCACATGTAGAAATGGTCTCACAAAAAGCAAGCCACACGAGTAATGCAGTCACTGGGTGAAGTGATGTCGTATTTATGACAGATAAGTGTAACAGGTGAGCCTGCTGGTTATCTCCTGGGCTTGGTCTCTTATCTTGCTTATCAGCCCAAGTGGAGACACCTTGCTGCTCACACCTTTGCTGCTCCGGTGAAACTTGGTAAGTTTTGAAATATTTAATTTGCGAAAATCACATTTTATTGATGAATACTTTTCACCTTTGTGTTAGTTTTGATTAATTTTTAACATATGTTTTTGTTTGTAAATATTTTTGGTCTTATTTAGTTGTGAATCATATTTTCTAATGTTTCAGGGTTATTTTGATCACAATTATGAAAATAGGAATCCATTAAGTATTTCTTTTACAACAAAATAGGTGTAAAAAATGTTAGTTAAATGTATTTAGTTGGGTAATCAAATCATTGAGGTACGAATAGGAGAAAATGTTTTCAATTATGCCTATTAAGTTTGAAAATCTTTGATTCATTACCATGTTTATCTGTTGAGGTCCAGGTACAACTACTAATAGTATGATTTGGATTTTAACTTATTGGTTAAATCTGTATGACCTCATTTCAAATCTGGAAATTATTGTCCTCAAGACCTGTGGGTTTAATTTAAAATTTAAGTTGTCTACGTTGTGTTAACAGTTTAAAGGAATGACAAAATAACTTACATTTGTGAATATGACCGGAGAAGGAACAGGTGACCCTATAGTCTGCATGATGGAACCTGGCTCCTGACTCTCTATCAGTGTCTCTCTATGAGTGTCAGGAGACAGGTTCCAACATACAGACTTTAGTTAACAACTCTACACAAGGCATCGTCACTGTACACTCATCTTCCGCTCGTAATTTTTAAATTATAGAAAATTCTGATGACAATATATCTGAAATGACAAATTGTATCGTTTTCCTGGATGATTCTGACTAAAGGGACAGCTGGCCTTATTCAGTAGCAAACCTACACAAGGTAACTCCCTCCTTTAAGTCTATCCTCCTCCACTTCAGCGTAAAATACACAAAATTTTATTTATTGTTTGGGAAGACAATAGATGCAGGACCATGGTTAGGACAGTTTTCACAAAAGAATCGATTTGGATTGGAGTGTCCAATCGAAATCTATCACCACTTACCATATTTTATATGTATTACCGTCATGTGAGTAAACAGTATAAGTGTAAAGTATAGTTATTTGTGCAACTAGTGAGAAAAGTGAGCAATTGACTCACTCGAGAGAAATCCTTACTCACGAGCCGTAGGCGAGTGAGGAATGGTTTCTCGAGTGAGGCAATTGTACTTTGAACTCGAGTTGCACATTATACTTTTCCTACAGTTACCACAAAACAAATAAATTTGTGAAGAAACATAACCTATTTTTACACAGAAGTGAACTTTTAATATACAATTTAATTTAATGTGAAGTGACAAATACAACAGTACAACAGCTGACCAGCTGATTTACAGCCAGTGCTGCCAACGTGTTTCACGCGCATACGACGTTGCCTGCATGTTACGCGCTCACTATTTCGTGCCTTCACGTTGCAAATCTGGAGTGAGACAAAGTAATTAGAGTGAGACAATGTTAACATTGTCTCACTGATGAGCGAATTGGCCACTTTGCTTTCTCAAATCAGTGAGAGAACATGTACATTGATAGGTAACTGTAGGAAAAATATATTATTATATGTGTCATTGAACAGTGCTTTCTGATATAAATTAGAAATTAGAGTTGGGGGAACTCAGGAAACCTTCCCCTTAAACCGCCTAAATTTTGTGGACGGTGTATAGTAAAATGATTATACAACAAAAATGTGTTTTCAGAAATGAGAGACTTGGTGGTGTTGTGTGTTGCGCTCGTTGTGTACGAAGCTGCAGCAGACTTGTGCCAGAAGTGTGTTTGCAGCAAGGACGAGCTGAACTGCGACTATGCGGGTCTCGAGGACCACTTTGACGACTCCGAGTGGAACGGAACTGACCAGACGATAGTTTCATTTGGCCACAACTACATCATACACTTGAAGCCGTTTCCGCAGCTGCCCGTGACCAATTTGTCCCTGAGCCATAACTGGATCGCCAGAATTGAGCCTGCATGCTTCAAACAGCTGGCAAATTTAACACAGCTAGATTTGAGCCATAACCGACTTACTTCAGACCAACTAAGACCTGACGTTTTCAAGGTACAGTAGAGTACATTGCCAATGCTGATTTGGACAAAAAAATTAGATTTAGATTAATCAAAATTTAGGTTACTAATCCATGTGAGCTTCACAATATCCACAGGCCTTAAGCAATTTCCAAAGTTTCATAATAATTTGGTAAAAAGTGTTTTTCTATCGATTTGGGAGTCGTTTATAAATGTACGAATGCGAGTATGTACATTTGAAATCTTGTAAAGACAACAGGAATATAATTAGAAAAATAGCCTATATATATATATTATTATTTTTCTTGGTGTTTGTTGTCTATTGCAAATTTAAAAATTATTATAGAAAGATACCTATTACTGTCTAGTGATTCCTCTGCTCCTAGAATGGACTACATGTTTTGATGTTGTTGATTCATCATCTTAATATAAGGTTGTACAAAACTTTCTTTTCTCACTTGTCGTCTTGTGTGATGCATGATTGGGTTTTGGTAAAATCATAAAATGAAACTATACTGCAGTTTTAGATCATAAACGTTTTAATTCTGTGTTGTTAGATGTTCCACCGATGTTACTCAACCAAGTATATTGTTCCAGGGCCACTATGCTCCAGAAGCCTACGAACCTTTGAGAAACCTGAAGACTTTGAACTTGGCCTCAAACGCTTTACACTCGCTGCACTCTGATCTGTTTGAACATTTGCCTAACTTGGAAGATCTCTCTTTGGCCTCAAACCCACTGAAGGTTCTAGATAGGCAGACGACGATCGCAATTACTTCTATACCTTATTTAAAGGTTGGTTACGTTCATACTTCGTAAAAGAAATCGGATGTTAGCAATAAGCTTAAAAACAACAATTAATAATTAATCTCAGATCCCAAAAAAAGAGTAATCTCAATTTTATAAATAGAAATAAAACAACGTGGTATTATGATTTTATCGAGCCCTCAATGTTTTTCTTTTGTTTTATTCTACATTGAATTTGTGGAAAATCTGATTATATTTCTTCATCTAGATTTTAGATTTGTCAAGTACGTCCCTCCGCACATTCTGTGAACATGTTCTTCACACTCCTCGGTTTCTCGAGGTTCTCGATCTCTCCAGGAACTTGTTCAAGACTGTCCCTCAAACCTTGGAAGATTCTCACAGTTTGAAGAAGCTCTTCCTCGATGAGAATCCTATCAGTGAAATCATGTAAGCATTTGAAAGTGTAAACCTAGACATATTAATAGAACCATTAACATTAACTGCATGTATAGCTTATTTACTACAACGACTATCCGCAGTACTGATAATTAGACCAATTCGTATATACCAAGGCATAAATGTGGTTCGGATTCCACTATGAACTGTAGGTCCCTTAGTTGCCATTAGCTGTATGGGCTATTAATTAACAGCTGTTTCTAAGGAACAAGTCGGCCTTAGTCACTAACAAGACTACAAGATCGCGCCACTCATCTTCAGTTATACTTGGCTTAAAATACCTAGTTTGTACGGTCGCCATTTCAAAGAAAAGTATAAAGGAAGCATAAAGTATAAGTAAGTAGATTCAAATCCAAGTTTTTAGATTTTTTTTGTTTTGTAATCACATAAGCTGATGATTTGTCAATGAGATTTTTGCAGAAAAAATATGCTCAAAATCCACTGATTGTATGATTATGATTGTACTGTTGAATGCACAGTCTTAATAGACCTTTTTTTGTTTCCTATTCTTTTCTTTGTTGGACTTGTAAGTGTTCCAAACAATAAAATTGATTACCGTATTGTTTTCATCTGTTATGTTTCCTACGATATGTTTACTTATAATCTGAACAAAGGAACAGATCCCCGATCCAAGTTAAAAGTTTCTCCCTGTTTATTGTATCTTATATTTTGCATTTTTCTGTCAGAATTGAGGCTGTGCTACCTTCCAGGTACCACTTAAATAATTACCGGTATCATACTTTAAAGCAAAAAATTCTATCTAATTTTTTGCTTATTCCTGTGAGGGGATTTTCACGATTTATTGTCGTTTCACAGGAGTTTCCCGCCGCTGCCGTACCTGGAGGTGTTGAGCATATCCTGGATGCCCAACTTGACCAGGATAGGACCAGGATCCCTGAGTGGTCTTGTGTCCCTGCAGGAGTTGTACTGTTCTCACAACCCTTTACTGAACAACATCAGTGGTGCTGCTCTCAGCCAACCAGCTGTGGGCAGTCAGACATGGCCTCCACTCAAGAAGGTCTGTATCAAATTCAAATAGTTGTTGAAAGTGGATACTAGGAGAATCATGGAAGCAGAATAGATGTCTTACTCCATTCACTTTCATCAACTGGTGATAAAGCTCAATAGCAGTTGACAACTTAACCACAAAAATCTAATTACAGAATGCTATTCATGTGTACTGGGAGTGTGAACTTTATTTCACAATGTTTTAAATACTGTTTCGAGACTAAAACTATTTTATAAATGTGGGAATCGGCTACAATAGTATTGGATAAAGTAAAGAACACAACTTGTTGGTCTCAGGTTTGAACTGGTTGGTTGGCTGCGATGGATACCTTAATACACAAACAACTCCCTATTGTTTAACAGTCTGCTTGAATACTTCCATACCTGTGTTGCAGATCGCCTTGAACAACAACAAGTTAGGGTACTTGGACTTTGAACTGGTGGGTCACTGGGAACAGCAGGAGATGGTCAACATTCAGAACAACCCTTGGGTGTGTGAGTGTCACAACCAGTGGCTAGTGTCCACACTGTTGCCTCTGTTGGAGCGGCTCAACGGCTCCGAACACAATGTGGCTGGCGTGGTGTGAGTTCAAACACTTTATTGCTAAAGCAGGAATATTCGGGTGAGGTTCATTTGTCCGAGTTTTCAACTGTCCGAGTTTGTTAAAAATTACAAAATATTTGAAAAATCATTTGTCCGAGTTTTCAACTGTCCGAGTATGGTTTAAATAATAATAATATTTCGTTAAATCAACTGTCCGAGTTTTCATTTGTCCGAGTTTTTAAATTATTTAAAAAATATCAAAATATCATTTGTCCGAGTTTTCAACTGTCCGAGGAGGGGCAACATCAAAATGTGACAATGCGCACCGAGACTAGCGTGTCTAAAGCGCCTGTTCAGAAGTCGATGTGAACACCTTCTGTGAAGGAGTCAGGCATTGTGTGAGCCGCGAGAGGCCCTCACGTCGACTTAAGAAAAATTATATTATTTTTATTATAAGACTAATTTTACAATTTTTAATTATAAAATTAAACTGTCATCACCAAACACAACCAACCAAACTTGCTGATAATATAATAATGGCGGGGGTATTTTATATTATCAGCAAGTTTGGTTGGTTGTGTTAGGTGATGAGAGTTTAATTTTATAATTAATAATTGTAAAATTAGTCTTATATAAAATTAAAATAATTTTTCTTAATTCGACGTGAGGGGCTCTTGCGGCTCGCACAATGCCTGACTCCTTCACAGAAGGGGTTCACATCGACTTCTGAACAGGCGCTTTAGACACGCTAGTCTCGGTGCGCATTGTCACATTTTGATGTTGCCCCTACTCGGACAGTTGAAAACTCGGACAAATGATATTTTGATATTTTTTAAATAATTTAAAAACTCGGACAAATGAAAACTCGGACAGTTGATTTATCTAATTATTATTAGTTATTTATCAAAACTCGGACAGTTGAAAACTCGGGCAAATGATTTTTCAAATATTTTGTGATTTTTAACAAACTCGGACAGTTGAAAACTCGGACAAATGATGTGATCCCGAATATTCTAACTGTCACTGGTCATACCCTATGTTTTTAACAGATTAGTGTAGAATCCTTGAGAATTAATCATTGAACTTTGTTGAAGCAAGGGAAACCATTTCCCTGTTTTAAGATGGTGGATAATTCATCTACAGCTACTAGGCCAGGCTGTGTGTGTGTGTGAGTGTGAACGAGTTTATTTAAGGATTGCCTTGCAATCCCTTAGCTTGACAACATTTCGGATACATTCTAACATGGGATTTAAAAAGTGGAAATTGTATTTTTTATCTATCCTATTGAATGCATTTCTTCTTCGGATAAAGTAATTGTTAAATCTAGCAGCTCACCATGCATAAGTGCAGATTATTAATCATTCAGATTATTAACCTTTCATATCAACTTCTTTTTTCATTCCAAAGTTTGTCTTTATCAATCATCTGCTCTCTCTTCTCATCATCCTACATATGTCCTTATGTATACATATCCTCTTTTGTTTAAGTGATTCTTGAGGCTGGGCAACAATTAGAACTCTCCATCTTCCCCTACCCCCTAAATTTCACTCCATCCACCATCTGCTCTCCTACCTTCGCCACTTTTCTTAGTTCATTCATGATACAATTATGACAAAAATATTCCAATGCATAAAAAAAGCAAAACCACAAATATTTAATGAAACTTGCCATTTCCAGCTGCCACGCGCCTGACGCCATGATGGGCCAGAGTCTAGCTCAGCTGGATCATAGAGCCTACCACATGAGGTGTCTGGACCTCTACGACCACCATCCCGAGAGAGACGGCTCCTTCCTGGTCGGAACACTGATTGGAGTTATCTTCGCCGTGCCGTTGACTATACTGGTGTATGTCACGTACAGTAGGCATCTGCGCACCACGGCCGCCCGCTACCACCGAGCCTTCTACAAGCCACAGGGAGCCATGCATGAGTTCTCCATCAATCCTGCGTCTGAGTTGTGAGCAAAGAGCATGAGCTAACGGATAACTCATGGTCTAACTCATGCTAATGGGTTAGTTGTTGCTATGGTGTTATGGATTAATGTGTTTGGGCGATGCATCTGATGGTGATTCAATTGTAAATCATAAATGTTGTTGTTTGTTCACTTGTTAATTTTATTAGGTCTATAAGAACTGACAAAATTAAATTGAGGATTTGGTTTTACCACGGCATAAGAAATAACATTAATTTTACTCTGTAGGCCTACACAAATATTAGAATATTCCACCGTCACTAGGATTTTCAACTAATGAGGTTTGAGTTGTAAAGAGAGATGTCTTGAGCTCCACAAGCCAGGAAGTTTACAGTCGCCTTTCCAGCTCAAACCTCTAATTTTGCAGCCCAATTTTGATGAAAATCTCTTATCAACGAACCACAATTACACAAAATAACAAATAACATGGAAATGTTAAAAGTTTTAAACAAAGGAAGCAGAGTGGATTAAACCAAAGAATATCTCATAGGTAACAACAACCTGAAAAATCCCAGTCATAACCAAATTTCTTAATCAAACCTCATTTTTGACCAAATTTAACATCAATAATCAATAGTCAACAAATTTCTAAATCCTGTCTATTGAAAAAACCATCTGTAAATTCATATTACATTTACACAAAACAAACAATGTAAACAAAAGTTAAGTATTTACTATCTTATTAAAGTTCAACATGTCACTTCAAGAAAAAAGATTTATTTCGGGGTGCACAGTTTTCATTTACTACTTAAATCTAAATTCTTGTATAGTGTAAAGTGTTGTGAGTTTCTTGTGCTGGATTGGACTCTTTCCCATTCAGGTAAGCCTGCTATTCCTTATACCTTAGCCAATTCAGGCCCGCCAGTGGGGGTCCCAGGATTTCATTTCGGTGGGGGGGGGGAAGACCACCAGTGGGGGGGAGACCACCAGTGGGGGGAAGACCACCAGGGGGGGTGTGGAGGGTATGGAATATCCCCCAGAAAAATGGTGTCCGGGGTCCCCCCCCCCTGGCAAAAATATGGAACTTAGAGCCTAAAAACATATTTTTATACATATTTGAGCTCTCAAATATGCTCCTGCTGATGGTATTTATGTTAGCTATCAGCTAATAAAATATAAAATATTTCGGGGGGGTTATATCCCTCCCATCCCCCCCCCTGGGACCGCCACTGCGCGGTTTGCATGTAACACACCAAGGGCTCGAGAGATATTTATGCCCCTTCACCCTTTCCTTGATAGGGAATTTTTCTCTTCCTTTTTCCCTCAAACCATTTAGAGCTGAGCCAATTTAGACCACAGATGAATATAGTTTAGGAATAGCTGATTGGGAATTTCTTTTGGAATGGTATAGAGCTGAGTTAGATTACTGGAGAAAATCAATCTATGGTCTATAGATATACAATATAATCATAACTTATGACTGGTATTCTGTTCCGAACTGAAATTTATCATCGATGACATAATACCAGTATTGTTTTGTATAACCTTTATTTGGGGTTTATTGGTCATTTGAATCTAAATTTCCTCAGTAAGCTAGCTAAACTGGTATCCATGAAAAAAACAAAGAAAACTTGAGCGTGTGCATTTTTTTCTTGCTAGTACTTAGGCAGAAAACCTCCCTTCGAGGTAGAAAATGTTTTGATTGTAAAATCATGTTATCTTTAAAAATTTTGATTTTATGTTAAGTTTAGATTAAGTAGTTCAACCATTATTTTACTTATCCTAGTAAATAATGAAACCTAAGGTAAGCATTCAATAAGAATGGATGTGTGTGATTCCTAGTCACTTGTTCCAGTAGTAGTAGACAAAATATATAAATTGTTTACTTTATTTTGTTCGAATAAATAATTTTGTATATTTGATCATTAATAATTCATCCAACTATTTTTATCCTGTGCCAACTTCTATATGAATTGTTTTGCTCTTTACACACATGGTTAGTTTGTGACATAATTAGTCTCAGTCTCTTATGAAGACACTGAGCAGGACAAAATACATTGCTAAGAAGAATACCCAGTGTAGAAATAGCACCCAAAGTACTTTAAATGCAAATAAATGGATCACTTACAAGTAGATATGGTGGAGATGGTGGATAATTTGTTCAAATTACAAGGTAATTATTATTCTACTCATGCCGGCATTTTTCTTTCTGTTTTAATAAGAAAAGAAAATTGCAAAACCTTTGTCTTTCTTACATGTTAGATACCTAAAACTCTTTGTAAAGGAACTATTGTTTACTATTGTTTATTGTCAACATTCAGCCTACCAAAAAATGAAAAATTATAAACACAGAGAAGGGAAATATGTTAGTCTATGAATACTACTTCATAGTAAGCGTATGCAACTGAGTTTTCACCTTGTAAGCAAGTTTGTACCATTTTGTTTACAGTTAAATGGACAAATAACACACTGTGTTTAATCAAAATTGTTCAAGCCGTTTTTGTGAAGATCAGATTTTCCTTTATTTTGTGGGAGAATCCTCATCAAAAAAAGGTTTCCAAAAAAATAAACATTTGGAGATATTAGGTATGGAATGGATTACTACTCACATAACAAATGTAATCTAAATCGGACCTCAGGTGTAGTCTTTAGCTCTGTAGACCCAGACATCACTTTAAAAACCAAAACGGATTTTATATATCTACCCAAAACTCAAACTTGAAAATTATCCTCTAACGAAAACAGTACTTTCGACACCACATACTAGTACCTTTATGGGTGATTGTCACAAATGGGTAGCTAACATTAGTAAATGGCACGATTATTATGTAGCAATGATTCCCAACATGAAAACCATACAAAATCCATGCACTGTTTCCATGCCACTAGAGTAATCATTTTAATTGGAGCGTCGGCAATGCAGAATGCAGTTTGTATAAATTTAAAGCAAGCTGCGCTACCGTATTGTCGGTAAAGTGGTTTTGTAGTTCCTACTATCAAAACCAGAATGCGTCAGCTGTACCATTGTTGACATTACTGGCGTCACGGAGAATAGTCGGAATAAACAAATACGTCCGTTGTCAAGACTCGATTATTTTATTTGGACACATGTATGTATGTTGAACAAGTACAATATGAACCAAAACTAAATAAGCATGAAAAAACCAAAACAATACTAAAGTCCAAAACAGCGAACCATGATCAAAAATAAATCAAGCACTGCACACCTTATTACACGATTTGATCAACCTTCCCTGCCTTTAAAAAAATTCAAAGCTAAAGAACGGATTCTTTATAAGCAATTAAATTCTTAAACAATTTTTTTGAACTTCAATTTTGACGTGTTTCGAATGCTATCAGACCCTAAATACATAACATTTTGCAATTTATTTCTAAACCATTTTGTAGAGCTTAAAAAATAGTTTGGTAAATTGTTGTTTTTTAATCACCTAATGGGTAGAAAATTCCAATAAACTGTAAATTTAAAATTCCCATGTTATTCTTATGGGGAATAAGCCAACTGTTTTAGATTGCTTCTTTGTATACTCTGATCAAATTTGGCAAATTTGGGTTTATTTCATACTTAGCTATTTTGTACATCTACTGAAATACACTTTATGGCCCTCCCTGTAGCAACAATTACAATTACTCGTTAAACCTAATGTTATTAAAATAGGGAATATAAAGGAAAACCAATAACTAGGTAAATGAAAATTATCGTAGTCAACAGGTTTGCTGCGGTGGGGGAATGATAAACTTTTTACTCCTGTATGAATTTTGTCTTCCGGTCCGGACATATTTCTTTTACTTCCATATCACTCTCATCATCATGGACTGAACTTTCCTCACTACAAGTAAAACCCTTACAAAAATATACACTGCGGTTTGTCCAAATGTTTTTTTTTTACATTAAATGCGCATATTTCCATCGTAGTACCATTGGCTGTAATTCTATATTAAGCGTCCATGATTAATGAAAGCATGTGAACAAAATCTAGAGATAATTATTGATTAAATACAAGAAAGTATATTTAACATAACAGCCCACTTCCCGTGTTATAACACAAGTATAGCAATAATTTTAATCTGACGTAATTTTGCATATGAATCTAACAATGTTAAAATGTCTTTGAATTGCAGTACCAGTACAGTACAATTAATAACTATTAGTGCAATAATAGTGTCCATAAAATCAGGAACTGAGCAATAAATTTTAATATAAAAGTGATTATTAGTTAGAATAATACCACTTAGGTCTGTAGATTATTTCGCTGATTTAATTGTAACGAAAATCTATTTTTCCTGACGAGTTATTTACCTATTTCCATATTATATTGATTAAGAAAGTATGTACAGTAATACAACACTCAATTGTATACGGTATGTTATAAAGTATTAAAGTGTTGGCTTTCATACTAACCAAAAACAGTGTTTCTTAACAGCTGATCAGCTGATTTGCAAGGCATCAGCGCATGATGTGTTCGTTTCTTATTGGTTCATTGTTGTCTTTGTTGCTTGAATGTTGATTGATGTATTTTCATGTTACTACAGGTAGTGTTCGTGTGTTTGTGTGTCCTTGTTGTAAGTACCGGTACTACTAGTATATCTATCGCGTAGTGTTTGTGATTGTGTTTTTGTTGACTACTCAATGGCTGTTCTGACTATTTACTTCAGTATGGTAAGTATTTTCAATTACATTTATAATTACCAAGCTTACTTTTTGCAAAAACAAAATAATACAAAAGTTGTTTATGCAATATACTCTGATTACGACGTACGATTCATTTTAGGACAATGTACAATTCAATGTAGGATTATGGTATCATCCTAGTTTAGTCTACATTTCTATAACCAATTAATAGTTATATAATTCAAATACCGTATTTTCCCAAAAAATAATTGTTTGTGGGAACTTGTAACTTGTTTTACTAACAACAAAATAAAATGTTGATAACGGTACTTTCGGATTGTTGAAAAATATATTTGCATACAATTTACTAATTGTTAGAATTATTTTTGCCTTGTCGAATAAGTATTTATATAACAATTCTTTTTCAACCTTCACAGTGAATAAAAGATGATAACATTATTTTGTACTACATTTTGGGTTAGTTAAGCCATACGTTTTTCCTATTAATCACCTGATAAGGCTGAGACATTTTTGAAGGGCGTTAAGCATTATGTATGTGGCCAATTTTGAATTGAATACAGACGAAATATTAGACACATTATTTAACGATAAAACTTTCAAGACATAATTTAAGAGCTTTGTTTTAAAATTACGATTGAGCCTTGATATGACGAAACCGTAGAATTTATGTAGTCTAGAAATAATTATTTTTGAATAAAATAAATTAACGCAACTGAAATACTTCATGAGTATATTCTTAAAAAAATCAGGAATATTTAATACCATGCTATCTTCTATTTATAAGTTTTCTCTGTTCAATAGGCTATTTGTTG